AATGTACATCATTTATAATTATATAAAAATAAAATAGCTAATTATAAACCTGAAAAACCTGAATTTCCACAATAAACTAAATTGTTACAGACATAAATTACAAGACATACTATAACCAGAGAGAAATCCGAGACTGATGGTTCGGAAGACCTAATCAGAATTATGTTAATTTTCTCTGGAATACCCTCTGCTAATCAAAATTCCAGAATGGCTTTGTAAATGTTGATGTTAATTCTAAACTGTATACAAACATTGAAAGAGCCAAATTTGCAGGGCAACAACAAACTGGAAAACTTATGCAATGTGGTAGTTTTGACTGCATTTTGACTATAGATCAGAGTCATTGGGGAAATTTTTAAACCTTGCTGATGGCACCCTTCTGTTTACATAATTAAATCTTCGTCTGTAGAGGATACATTCATGCATATATATTTTGTAAAAATCTCTGATGCTTAAAAAAATGAAACGAACTTAGAGAATCAAGATCCTGCCACACATTATTTTGTACAATTATTTATGCAATATATTTATACAATATAAATGAAATATTATACGTTGCAAATCTACTTTTAATCAAGGCAGGATGAAAGTGGCTTAGGGAAAATTGAAACAGTACAGATGCTATAGAAAAAGACTGTTTATGACTAAGGTAACTAAGCAAGATATTAGAAAAAGACAACTTTTCCGTATTTGAGCTCATTGTCTCTAAAGGTGAAAAAAGTAATTATTAGCCACAATTTCATATATGTACCACCCCCTCTCAAAGAAAAAAAAAACGTCGAAGTAAAGTTCAGATCAAAAGTGAGAGCACACACACACACATACACACATACACACACACACACAGAATAGATAAACAGAGAAAAACAAGGAAAGCTTGGTCAGCATGGACTCACACATACTTTGCTAGGCAGGACACAGAGCAAGTACTCCTCACCAAGGTACCGAAGATTTCTCTGCACACCCCTCCTATAACAGTTATGCACCTCAGTTGTGGAAATGTCAATGTTGGGGCTTTTGATTGATTGGGTTTTTACTCCGTTGGCTCTACCTTCAGACCAGAGAAGGTCTCTCCAAAAAGCCGTTGAACTTATCTGGGCAATAAAATGAGGGTCTCTATGCTTGGTATATGCTTGCAATGAAGGAATCTCAACTGAACTTGAACTGTGGTCAGGCAGCATGGTGGAGGAATCCACCATGGGGCGAGAATTATGAAAGGGGGGGGGTTGGGAATCCCAGTACCTATAAAACTGTGTCACATAATAATAATAAAAAAAAGAAATGAAGATATTTTGAGGTGTGCATAATTACTACAGAATAAAAGGAGAACTCCCTCCCCCCCAAAAAAGTGAGAGTAAATATTGAATTTCTAGAGGATAATATGGGATATTTTCATAAATGTAGTAAAGGAAGTTTCCTTGAAAGTGCAACGAATGTAGCTAACAAATTAAAAATTTCCACCCATGAAAAGATACCAGTAAGAACTTGAACTGTCATGCTCTGGACTTTCAAAATACATACCAGAAGTCAGTATGCTAGCTAAATCCATAATTAAAAGTTACAAAATAACAAGTGAACAAGAGACATGAGCAATTTGCTCACAAAAGACCATCTCCGAGTGGCTAGAAAATGTGTGGAAAAAGTACTCATTAGGAAGAGGCAAGCTAAAACTAAGATGTATCACTGAACTCTCATCAGGATGACTCTACTTCAGGGCTGATATCAAGTTTAGCAGACACATAGATTAACTAGAACTATCATATTCTGCAGGTAGAAATGCAAACTTCACTATTTGAAAACTTGCTTTTCATTACCTACAAAGTCTGACATGTATATACCATATGTCCTTGCAATTTCACCTAGTGCTATTACCAGCTGAGTGCATGTAACTGTAAATGCACATGAATAAAAATCTCTTGATAACATTATTAGTAACAACTTACAGAAGGGAATAATCTAAATGTTCAGTCAGAATGGATAAATCAATTATGCTGAAAATGAAGCACATACAGCAGCATAGACTACTTTTTGTAGACATAATGATAGTCATAATTTAATCAGGAAAGGATACATACTTGATTTTCCATTTATATAAAGTTCATAATGGACAAAAGTCATGATAGTGATAACTGGTGAACACAACAGATGATAATTGCAAAACAGTTCAACATGGGTATTCTAGAACATTTGTAATTCTTCTTGATCTTCATGTTGATTACATGAACTTGTTTAACTTTGTAAACATTCATCTTAGCTGAGGTATAGCACAATGAGTTAACACAGTATGAGGATGACCTGAATACATGCAGAGTCATACTGCGCTCTTTTGTAAGACAATAAAAATGTCAATTCTACCCAAATTTATATAGAAAGTAAATGCAGTTAAATAAAATCACAGCTTAATTGTTTATGCAATCAATGTTTTTTTGAAAATATGTTTAAAAAGTTTATTAAGAGTTAAATCAACTTAAAAAAAACCTGAATGAAAACAAAGGATTGGTTCATATACCAATCATATATCAACATTTATCCCAGCGATATTGCTACTAAAAAATGGCTTTATCGCTTCTCGGCCTTTTGGCTAAGATCAAGTGTAAAAAATGGCAAGATTTTGGCACAGTTATGAAAAAACAGACTAATAGAAGAGAGGCGATGCTTCCGATAGACTGGCAGAGATCAAAACACGTAATGTGATTTGCTTGTAGCAACACAAGGCAGTGGAAAAGATGGCCTGGTAAGTCAATGAGCGTTGGAAATCAGGCTTATCCTGTACAGACAAATTAAAATTGGGTCCCTGTAAAGCTCATGGCAAGTGCCATCCAAACTGACCAAAAACAAAATACAAAATATAAATCTGTAGAGCTGTTATAAAATATTATAGGGGAATGCCTTTGCAGCCTAGACATAAAGAAAGACTTGTGATGCAAAACTTTAAATGCATAAAGATCAAACTGATTTGGGGCTGCTTTAGAAACACAGACATTTTTAATATGAGATTGAGGACAAAACATGGTCTGACTTTCAATAATCAATTTATAATTAAATTGAACAAACTCCTGTATCCACTTGGACAGTCTGTATGAATTCATTGCTCACAGAACTGTTTGTGCATAGGGGATTTGGAGTTGTGTTGATTGTGTGTGTCTGCACCTAGACATAGAGATAACGTTTACCAATCTTTCTTTTATGTCATGATATGATAATTGCAATTGAATTTTTTTCTGGATAAACTGGTTGTTAGAGTGGAAATTAAATCAAAATGTACCTAATACACCTAATCGACCTAACCATAACTAAGCTTTTCCTGCCTTAAACATGTTCAGAATGCTGAAATATCTAAAGGGAAGTCAGATCATCCAACAGAATGTCTATTTTATACTCAAGTTTTAAATATCTGCTAAATTATTAAATACTATACTGAAAGTGGAAAAGCAGAATGATTGTAAGAGTGTGTTTTTATAGCATTGTTCAGAAAATTACAAGTCAATAAGTTATGAATTGAACTGCTTCAACCCAGAAAGCGTGTGTACATTCTCCTGTTATTGAACAGGAGAGACTCGCCTACATACAGTTCTAATCCATTTTCTCAGATTAGACTTGCTATTCTTGATTCAGTTTTATCTTTCGTATGATCAGTGCTATACACAAGGAAGCCTCAAATGTTCACAGAAAAGTAGTGTTAAAAGATAAAGTGCTTCTACATGAACTTTGTGAAGTCCTCTCACGTTTAGCTAGAAAATGACACATTCATTTTCTTGTATAAATTACAACTAACCTCAAAAAAAACATTTTAAAATATTTATTGCAGGTTTCAATAATTTTATGTAGATTAACGTACTGTAGTAAGTTACACCAAAACTCACTAATTTGCTATTGCATAATTCTAGCTGGATTCTGAATGGTTCAAAATTTATTTTTAAATATTTTGTTATTGATAAATAATCATTTCTATACCCTCAAATAAAAAAAAGTAGCATTATGTTAAGAACTGAAAGGCACACTGATGCCAGCAACATTAAGAAGTACTTAAGAGCTTGGAGAGTGTCTCCTTCTGAACACTCGGGCTGTTGATGATTTCTCCTGGTCTTGTGTCTCTTTCAATTATAAATGTGAGAAATATGTTTCTCACAGTTCTGGAAACTAGGGAGTGTAAGATCAAAGAGCTATACCTGGGCAAGGGTTTCTTGCTGTGTCATAATATGGTAAAAGGGCAGTGAGCACTTGAAACAGAGAGCAGGGGTAAGAGAACTCAAGAAGGAGGGAGGACAAGAGAGAGAGAGAGAGAGAGAGAGAGAGAATGTTCACTTTTGAAACTAAGGCAATCCAAGGATTGCCAACCCACTCCCATGATCATAGTATTAATCTATTCATTAGAGTAGGGCCTGATCGTCTCTAAAAAGTTATACTTCTTCTCAATGTGAATAAAGGATATATTATTTATGCAGTAAACTTCAATGAAGGTAGCATTTAAAACAGCTAATACCAAATAACATGCCATCTATGCATGTTTTCCTTACTCTTAACACTTGAGTGTTTAGTTTTAGAACAGTTTTATGATCACAGAAAGTAAAAAAAAAAAGCTCTCACACATTTCATACCCCAACAGATGCATACCTCTCCCTACTAATAATATCCACAGTCAGTGTCCCATTTATTAGAGTCCAATATCACTCAAAATTCCTCACCTACATTGGGGTTCATTGGTGTTTACTCTTTCATGAACTTTTCACTCTTGATTATAACCAATTTCAAAGAAAGACCAACAGTGATTACCCATCATGTTAAACCACCGAAAGCATACAAGAATTTTTAGATGTACTCAACTCCTCCTCCCTTGCTACTAGGAGTCCTGTCTAGGTTTCCCCTTCTCTAACACTTCTGAGCCTTGATCACTCATCAGTTATCAGTTAATTACAGAACTCATATTTTAACCAAGATTTCTCCTACAAATTCCCACTTTCAAGTACTCTAGAGTAGCCAAGGAATTAGAGAGTGCTTACCTTCAAAATAGATGCCTGACTGGACTTCCAGAACCCTGGGGAGTGTCCTGAGGTCAAGGGAGTGGACAAACTCTTCCAGCGATAATGCCATCGCTTTGCCTTGGTTTTGGTGTAGACCTGGTACTTGCAGATACTTACAGCTTCTGGATGTCACTTATCCACGTGAGTTCTTGCTCACCATTCCCCTCCCAGGGCATGCACAGACTTCACACCAGAGTCTATGAGCTCTGAGTGGGGAGGGAGGAGGAAGAAGACAGGAGACAAATGGAGTTACAGCTCTTTTGTTCTTATTGTGGCTTCCTATCTTCCTGACGCTGAAGTAGAACAGGGTGGGGGAGGGGCAAATGTGTTTGAACCAACACTGCCAATAAAAAACATGAGAACAGATAAGAGCTGCTGTGTTGCTGTCCGGGGTGGATCTCTAACAATGGAAAGAGACCTCAAGGTCAGAGTTCCTCATGACTTACCCATCAGAAAAATAACAAGAAGGTAGTATTGAAAGCTAATCTTAAAAGCGGCACCACATTACTTCATTATTTCTCTAGCTCACTTGTAAAAGTTTGGCTTTACGCCTCATTTGCATACTGTCAATGTTTTGATATTAAATTTGGTTACAGAAGTGCTTTGTGTCAGCAATTTTTAGAAATCTGATACTCAGGAGATAGTACTGAAACCACTGCTAGTTCTTCTGTATTAGAATCTTGCTGAATCTTAAAGGCAAGTTGGGGGTAGGGGTGGGATACAATAGGGAAAGTGATGCACTACTTAAAAATTGAAGGGCGATACAAACTTTCAAATCCCCATGCTATGGTGGAAAACGATCTGGACACTCAGAAAACCTGATGCCTTGATTTAGTTTAGCTAAAGAGTTACAGACTAACATGGTCTTTGTCATCTCTGATCCTCCTTTAACCAATTCATTACATGCAGGAAAAGTACAAGGGATCAAATAAATTTTGTGACTAATCCCAAGTCCAAAATCTTATAATCCTCATCTTGTAGTTTAAATTTAGGGGGAAAAAATGCCTGAAATAAAGGCAGAGAGGAAATCTCATGAAAACTAATTTCAAAACTTCCCCTTCAGAGCAGGTGTTGTGGCACACTCAGCTAACCTACCATTCAAGTATCAGAAACCCTGCTTGAACCCTAGCTACTCAACTTTCACCCCCTGCTAATACACCTTGCAAGGCATGCATAAAACCCAGTTAAAGTTCTTGCCTTCCAACTTTGGGTTATTCCAGAATTGGCAATTTTGGCCATCTGGTTGAAGAACGAACTACAGAATAGGCAGTATCTTTCTGTCTTTGTATGTCCTTGTCTCTGTGCAAATGCCTTTCAAATAAAGAAACATATAAATATTTTTCAAGAATATGAACCACTGTGTTCTCAGTGTCTAACTAAAACAAAAATATTTGAGAGCTAGGTGTACAATTCCAGGTGATATTTTCTGTCTTTAAAAAAAAAACAATGGAAGAACAATTCATATAGACACAGTTGAACGGTGCCAAGAAGCTGCACTTCTCCTTCTAAAGAAAACTCCAGCCTGACTGTTTATTGTAGCTTAAAAAATAAATAGCTAGTTAGAGAGTGTCAGGGTCATCACACCTCAGTCCTATATTTTATGGAGATGACAAAGGATAAAAACACAGTTTTTACAAAGAGCTTATAAAATTCTTTCAGTTCTTCATAACCGTATTAGACACAATCTCCTGCCTTTATTAATTTCTTTCTTTTCCAAAATAGTATTTATGCCTGGTTACATTAATAGATTTACCATCAATGATTCTAATTCCTCCATTGCAACATTTCTTTTTTCCTTTTTTTTTTTTTCACATCAAAATCTTCCAAATTTGGTAGGTACACTCCCCTAGCTTAGGTTTCTTAATCAATTATGGCCTAACAGTATATATCACATGTTAGAATATATGATAACAACCAATTTAGAATATTCACTAAAAAAATCATTTACACCAGATCTATTATTGTAGAGAAACTGGTTAAAGCTGTCACCTGTGATGCCAGCATCCCATTTGAATACAAGTTCAAGTTGTCATTGCTCCACTTTCCATCCAGCTCCCTACTAATGTGCTTGGGAAGGCAATAAAATATGGCCCATCTGAGACCAGCACATTGGCTCAATTGGACAATCACCTCTAAGCACGGTATCCCATATGGACATCGGTTCATATACCGGTTGCTCTACCTCTCATCCCCGCCTTATGGCCTAGGAAAGCAGCAGGGCATTGCCCAATGACCTGGCGCCCTTCGCTTGCATAGGAGATCCAGAAGAAGCTCCTGGCTTCAGATCAAATCAGCTCTGGCCTTAATGGCCATCTGGAAAGTGAAACAACAGATGGACGATCTTTCTACCCCTCCTTCTCTTTGTAAATCTGCCTTTCTAATAAAAAGTCAAAACATTGAAAGAAGCAGAAAGGCGATCTATTCATGCCCCATGCACTTGGGAAAAGTGAAAGGAGTTTCAGACACCTGCGGTCAACCTGGAAGGAGTTCCAGACACTTAGGGTCACCCTGGAAACAGTTCCAAGTACCTGGAGTCAGCCTGGCTCAGCCCTGATGTTTGAATCCACTTGGAGAATACACCAGCCCCGCTCTGCCCAGCCTTTCTTTCTCTCAACAACTCTGCATTTCAAATATAATAGTAAATCTTTATGTTAGAAAATCATGCATCCATTAGAATTGATGCTATGAGAATTTAAGTTATTGTCTGGTCCAAATTGGATTTCATGAAATTACATGTCCCAAATCAATTATTTTTCCTGTTTTTCAAAGCAGCTACTGTATAAAATCAAGTCTCTAACAATGACCTTGTTACTCTGGTTTTCTGTTCTTCTACTAAATGTTTTTCCTGATCTGTTACAGCTTATTTCTTTCATTCACCTAGTAATAGTTAACCACACTTAGCATTGTCTCAGTTTGCCAAGCCAAGACTTTGAGTGTCGTGTTAGATGCCACCCTGCCGTCACTCCCCAAATCCTCTAAGCTTCTTAAATTGCAGTTTTCAACTGTACTCACTCTGTCCTTGCCTTGTGTTTCCACTGTTACTGCTTGAGTCCAGATCATAATCTATCCTGGCAGTGTTAGCAAAAGAATCAGCTGTGAAAACCATGAAAAAGTTGAAAAAGACTATTGAAAAGGCACTTATACAACCAGGTAGCAAGATTAATTATTAAAATTTAAATCACTAAAACCTCAGATTATAACAGTCATTTACTGAGAATTCTGAATCAATTAGACCATATGAAATAATTCCCTATGGAAGATATTTCAATGCATTAAGGAAGAAAGTTTTTATTCAACAAATGTCTGTTACTTAGTTCAAAGTATTTTTTTCTCTCAGACTAACACGAAGCTATTTAAATTAATTTCTGAAATTTTAATTTGCACAAAAATATGAAAGATAGAAAAATATCTAGGAGGAGATGAAAGAATTATTTGTAAGCATTAATCAAAATTTCAAAGGAAAATACTAATACATCTGTAACACATCAATCAAAGCTTCAAAGGAAAAGACTGATACATTTGGAACAAACAAACATTTCTATAAATGAGAAAGAAACTAATCAATATGAAAAAGTTACTTCTTCAAACAAAGAATTACTTTCTTGAGTGTATAAAAAGCACTTACTAACTAATATGCAAAAGTAAATTGGCAAGCTTCTTGACTAAAGGAGAGCTGTTGGAACATGAGCCTTGGAACATAAGAATACAAAATCCTGGAAAGCAGAGCAACATGACAAAACGAGGCCAGTATTCTCTACTTCTTCTCTAGAGAGGTGTTTGAGGATTAATAATTGTCACTAACAGTCTGAGAATCTGAGCAAAAACTGGTGGCTAAGGAAAAAAGAAAATTAATTGATTTTATAACAGCTTTACATGGCCAGAAAATACTGTTGTGGCTAGCAAGGCATCCAGAAACACTCCAAAATTTGTTGTTCAAAACCACGTTGTCTGCTAACTCCTGAGCAGTACAGAAATTAAACATGATGGCCCAGAATATGGAAGAAGCTAAGCAGGGCTTATTTCAGCAAACCTGCCGATGAGGATGGTTCACAAGGTGAGCAGGTGCCACTGGAACAGTTCTCTCAAATAGTGAGCTACAAGCAGAACATTTTTTCCAAAAATGGAAGCCGAGACTAAAATTAGTTCAATTCTTCATTGGATTAAGGTTATCAGCTCCTATTCTAGTTTAATGAGAAAAGCAGAGCGACCACATCTGTTTAGGAACAATGGACAGAATTTCTATATATTTTTAAACACTATGTATGTAAATTTGATGTAGGTAGTAAATCAATGATTTTGGCTAATAATACTCCATTGTGTATATATAACACATTTTCCTTATCATTCAGATATACAGAGAGGAGGAGAGACAGAGAGGAAGATCTTCCCTCTGCCGAATCACTCCCCAAGTGGTCTTGAGCAGCGGACAAAGTTTATATCCAGGGTTACAGTTCTTATACTTAGTTCAGTTATACAGTTCTTATACTTAGTTACAGTCCTTATATTCTTAGTAAAACAATAGCTCAAACACTCAGAATTAGGTCATATCTGGGAGCAGAGGGTTGAAGGAAGCTAACAAGGCACCTTGGTCAAAGCACTATTGAAATAGGGAATAGATAAAAAGCGCTGTCTGTTCCTGATGAGCTGACTAGGCAGAGCACAGAGTTGAGTATAATGTTCTTTCTGAGAATATGCCAAACACTTGCTGAAAAGCTTCAAGAACAAGAAGGAGCTTCCTTGGGAATCAAGTTCCTTGGATTGATACATTTTTATTTGACTTGTTTATTGTCGTTTGGAAGAGAAGGTTTACAGAGAGAAAAAGGACAGAGACAAAAAGATCTTTCATCCACTGGTTCACTCCCCAAGTGGCCACACAGGCCAGAGCTGAGCCAATCCAGAGTGAGGAGCTTCTTTTGGGTCTCCCATGCAAGTAGAGGGCCCCAGAGCATTGAGCCATCTACTGCTTTTCCAGGCCAAAAGCAGGGAGCTGGAAGGGAAGTAGAGCAACCAGGACATGAACTAGCACTCCAATAGGATCCCAGTTCTTAAAAGGGGAAGGATTAGCCAGTTAAGCCATTGCACCACGCCTGATATTTGTATTGTTAGCATTTTTTATTTACTTGTTTCAAAAGCAGAGACACAAAGAGATATTTCTGGGGTTTTCCTGCCAGTGGGCCCCCAAAACCACCTAGGGGTGAAGCAATGGTGTTCTGCGGCCACAAGAACCACCAGAGACAGTCTGGTCAAGAATGTCTGCTTATTGTA